GGTTAGGTTAGGTTTTTGATCAGCTCATCGATGAAAGTTTTGGTAATTGGATATTTGATATGACTATATGAGACTTGTATGTTGTTTATATAAGTAACTCATGACTTCTAGGTGATGGTGTTGATAACAATAAGGTTATTATCCCAGATTATTTAACTCCAAATCAAAATCATGACCAAATAATGAGTAAGCAAAACTAATATTTTTATTTATTGTACTAATTATTCTCATTTAGAATTACTAGTTTGCTTAGTTATTAGCTTGCTTAATTATGCGCCATGCTTATATTTATTATTTAATATCTGCAGCTTATGAAAATGCTTGTAGTTATGGAAATACTGTTGGAACAAAAAACAAAACGCAAAGAAAATTGGTTCTGGTTAATTCATATTGAATTCATAAACATAAAATTTAATTTTTTTCTCATGACTCATAGTTATTCATAACTCATTTGTTTTCATATAGGTTTGTTATCGACAATTGGTGTGAAACGAGCCAACCAATTGACTCCAAAATGCAAATCTCTTTATTCAGACACTGTTTGGTTAAACAAAGAACTTCGTCGTTCCAGGAAACAGTGCAATACGTTTAAAAAACGATTAGCTGCAGCATCAAATTTTTCCGGGAAACTTTTTAATTCTAAACTATCATCTCAAATGACCACATCAGCTTCCATTTTCACCAAACTACAGTTACGAGAAACTAATAATAAAGCCAGAGGACGACGGTTCACATTGGAAGAAAAATTATTAAGCTTATCTCTATACAAACAAAGTGCAAAATGTTATAGACTATTATCTAAATTGTTTACTTTACCTGGGCGAAAGTCGTTAACAAATTTACTGTCAAAAATTCCTATTGGTACTGGTGTCGATAAATCCCTAATTGAAGTGTTGCAAAAAAATGTATCAAAATTAAATGAAAGACACAAGATCTGTGTACTTTTATTTGATGAAGTGAGTATCGAACCACATTTGCAGTATGATGAAAGTACAGGATTCATAAGTGGCTTTGAAGATAATGGTATTTCTAGGACACAACAATTTGCAGATCATGCCTTAGTCTTTATGATACGAGGAGTTATAAAAAAAATACAAGCAGCCAATATGTTATACATTTTGTAAAAGCACCACTAGTCGTCATGATTTGTCAAATCAAATTAAAAAGGTTGTAAAGGCTATTCATTCAACTGGTCTTAAAGTAATTGCTACCATATGTGACCAAGGAGCAACCAACACTGCTGCAATTAATCTCCTCAAAGCTTAAGAGTTAATTGTTTGAATAAAAACATTGACTATAATGATTTATTTTATGAATTTGATTGTGGTACAGAAATCATTAAATTAGTTCATTTATTTGATCCACCTCATCTGTTAAAGGGAATAAGAAACAATTTGTTAAATAAAAATTTTCTTTTTATTGAAAATAATAAAAAACATGAAGCTAGCTGGAAACATATTTTAGACCTTTATAAACTAGACAGCAATATAGATGATGTTAAACTATTACCAAGGTTGACTGCAGAACATGTGATACCAGAAAAAATAAAAAAAAATGAAAGTTCGGAACGCTTCTCAAGTATTAAGCCAAAGAGTGTCTTCAATCATGCATTTTTTAGCTTGTGAGTATTAGTATTTAGCTAATAGTTGTACTGTCATTAATATTTTCTTTAATTTTCTATTCCCGCTAGAAATATTTTAGATGAAAATGCTCAGGACACTGCCATATTTTGTTTGTTTTTTGACAAGTTATTTGATTCGATTAATGGTTGTTTTAATAAAATTGAAGATGGGAAAATTTTTAGAACTTCCGTTAAAACTAATTCTCCACATCATCAGTTATGGATAGACTCTTTGAACATTCTGGAAACAATGGTCTTTATTAATCCAGTTACTAAAAAAAAAGTACACCGCAGCCACCAACATTGAAAAACTGGTCCAAAACAATAAAAGGTAAGCAATAAAATTATTGATATTTTATTTTTAAATTTGAAAACTAGTTGAATTTTGTTTAATTTTGACAGGTTTCCAAGAAGTATACAAAGTTCTGAAAAACAGTGAGGTACATTCAATTCTTTTAAGAAATTTTAACCAGGACCGTATTGAAAATTTCTTTGGAGCTATGAAAGCCTTGGGTTACAGGAACAACAACCCAACTTGCAGTAGTTTTGCATCTTCCTACAAGACCTTGCTTTTAAACAATTTGATGTCGGCCCATTCACCAGGTAGCAACTGTGAAGAGGATTCAGGTGAAGGTTGTTTGACTTCTTACAAATCTTTATTTTTTGTTTATAATGATGTTGACACGTTAGAACCAGAACATGATACTGTTGTTGAACGAATTTCTGATGGACCAGAAAAAATAAGTATAAGCAATTCAGAATTGTTGAATGATTTGGGAAACCTTACAAAAAATTATATTGATATATATGTTGTAAAGAAACTTAATACTATACTTTTTAAAGATTGTAAGACATGTTTAAGTCAAATTTGTTCTACATCATTAACTAAAGACCATGATGTTACTTTAGCAAGGGATTATAATCCAGATGGGAAATATTTGTTGAAATACACTAAAAGTACATTTTGTTTATTAGTTCAACAAACAATTGATTTAATTAGTAAAAAATTACCATCCTTATGTCATCATAAGACGTTAAAAACTGAGTTGTGTAAAATTATTCAAATAGAATTAAATTGTAATTTTATAAATTGTCCTGCTCATGGTAAAATTTTCCAGAAAAATTTGAAAATTTTTTAATAAAATTAATGGTACACAACTGGTGTACACAAATTAACAGAATTTTATCAGGTAAAATAAAATTGGGAGAAAATGAGACTGATCCCATTAAGCTATGTGCTTACTGCCGATACGTAACTTTTTCCAAAAAAAAGTCCTTTAAATAACATTTCTTTCTTTAACATCAATTAAATCAAATTAAATTCTTGTTTTTAATTTTCCTTTTTTAACATTTCTAAATTTTTTACTACATTATTATTATTATTATTTAAAAATGTCATCAATTATCTTCAACAAAATATTATATAAAAATTCAAAATTATCAAATTAAATTCTTATTTTTCATTATCATTTTTAAACATTTCTAATTTTTTTACTTTATTTAAATTACTCAGTTAATATTTAATAATTTCATCAATTATCTTCTACAAAATAATATATAAAAATTCAAAATTATCAAATTAAATTCTTATTTTTCATTATCCTTTTTAAACATTTCTAATTTTTTTACTTTATTTAAATCACTCAGTTAATATTTAAAAAGTCATCAATTATTTTCTAAAAAATAATATATAAAAATTCGCTCCGCTCAATTTTAAAAATAATTTAATACAGATTCATATATTTAATAAAAAATTGTACTATATATTTGTAGATTATAAAAATACAATGACTGAAAATGAACCAAATGTTCCTATTTAATTACTTTTATTGTAATTGTAAAATGCATTTTTTAGTTTTCTTATGTATGACGATAGTCAACTAGTGTGTTTGGTAGGTTGTAAAAGTAAATTTACTAATAGCCAAAAGGTATGATAATTACAAATGTTCCTTATTAAAATATGTATGTTCTGTTATATTATGTCATATTATTTTGTTATATACTTAGAATTGTTATATTTTTTTTTTTTTTATTAAATTTAGAATTTTTTTGTTTGTATTTATCTTATTTAATTCAACAATGTATGATTTAATGAATTTATATTATGCTGATTAATATTATTAATAAGTGTTTTATAATAATAAAACCTGAATCATATTTAATGTTGGTTGTTTTCCTTTGTCTGTTTGATAAAATTAGTTTTAAATATATTAAGTATTTATGCAATATTTAAAGTTGTTATGTCACAAAAATAAATTAGATCAATATGAAAAAAAAGTAAATAATAATTAAAAAAAAAAAAAGAAAATAATAATTTTAATATATTTTAAAAACGGCGGGAACATATTTTGCACCGGCCGCCGCTGCCGCGCCGTAGTTACTTCCATCAAACACCGGGAGCGCTGTTTTCAATGTTACAAAAATTAACACTGCGGTTGCCTATCTATTACAATTCTTGTCTATGGGTCTCTCTCTCGGCAACCGTCAACCGACGTACACAGTCCGTCCCGAGCACCGCCGCCATCTTTTTGCCACTGGCAAAAAACATGCTTTTCGCACCGCGAATCCTAGTGATCAGCCGCTTTCCTCTGTTCACCGACCGACTCATCTGTTAACCTTTTATGTTGCAACGTGTAATTTTTGTGTTTTAAATAAACCGCGCCTACTCATTTATTTAAACGTTGGCGTTCGACCGTGATAACGGTACAAACGCCACAGTATTGTAGCGGTTGTTGATATGAACACCGGGTTCTTACGTTTATACTATTATTATTATCACACTCACGTTTATGATTTATTGATCAATTATTATGTGTATTATTATTTGGTAGGACTAACATATCATTTAAGGTGCTCTCGTGTACATCATATTTTCCTACTTATATGCAATACATTTATACAGTCCACTAGAAAAATATTGTTTGTTTGATTTTTATATATTTTACAGTACCTTTAATTATTTATTATTTATTAATTACCAGTGGAATAGTTAGGATACAACCATGTTTATTTAAACTGGCTATCATAGCTAAACATTTATTCCTTCGAGCCGGATAGCTATCAATCAATCAATGTATTATATATTTATATGTATTAATTTTGCATTATTTGCTGATATATTATTATTATTTCTTTATCCTATTCGCATCTATGTATCTTTGTGTTTCTTTTCTTGGTTATTGGTTTTGCGTTGTTATGTGTATAGGTACTACATCATTTATACGATGACGAGAAAAAACCAGCAACAAATCCACAATGAACATAAAAGGATCGAGCTAACTCAAGAGACGTCGCGTTACGATCAATTTATAAAATATTAAGTATTGATAAGGATGCGGTAATCAATTCTGAAATTCGTCCCACATTAGAAGCGCGAGTTATGTCATTAGGTCAACTTGCCACTGATTTCAATAATGAACAAAAACATATTATTTCAACACTCGCGGAGACCGATGAAGTTGACCAATTCGTGGAAGTAGATGAGAACGTCACCGAAATGATGCAATCGATGTGTGACCAGATCAATGTCATTGTAGAAAAATTAAAACAGAATACTTCGTTGCCCACTCCGTGCAATGATAGGAGTTCAGTCACTGATTTTACCAAGAATCGAGATTCCTAAATTTGATGATAATATTATTGAATGGTGTTCCTTCCGTGATATGGTTACATCTTTGGTGTACGACAACAAACATTACGAAGATATTGTGGGTTTCCATTACCTATTGTTTTACTTATTAGGTCCAGCGTTAACAATAGTAAAAGCAGTGCCACTTACAGCTGACAATTATTCTATTGCTTGGAACGCTCTTAAAAGTCGATATGACAATAAACGCTTATTGGTCACTGCGCACATTGAAAAATTATTTACATTCGCGCCGTTAACAAAGGAATCCCCTACATCACTTTCATTGTTCGTCAACACCTTTCGGGAAAATGTATCAGCTGTACAAGCTCTTAGAGTCAGAGCTTGGCTGGTTTTATACTATTCTACATTGGTTCACTCGTTATTGATCCCATGACTATAGACCTGCAAGGGCTGTAAATTTTCGGCCCTGTCCGGTCCATCAATTTTATCCTCAGGCCCGGCCCGACCCGGTCCAAAGAAAATTGTGAAAAAAAAGCCCTGGCCCGGCCTGGAATAAAATTCCAAGACTAAAAAGCCCGGTCCAACCCTTTATTGTATTTCAAAGGCCCGGTCCAAAAAATATTATGAAAAAAAAGCCCTGGCCCGGTCCAAAATAATGCTAAGCTCGAAAAAGCCCGGTCCGGTCCATCAACTTTATCCTCAAGCCCGGCCCGGCCCGGTCCACAAAATATTATAAAAAAAAAACCCGGCCCGGCCCGACATTTTTTTTAAGGCTGGTTTTTTTTTGTAGGACTGGTTTGAAAATGTGGTTTTTTACAACAATCTTTACATGACAATGTCTTATGATAACTGGGGTTAATCGGTTTATGTACCTACTACCTAATACCTATTACATTTACCTGTAGCTTGATAAAAACTAGCTAGGTACATATAACAGGTATCTAGTATCTACTATCTAGTATCTATCTTTTCTGTACCAACGTCGGTTTTATCATTATTATTTATTATTTTAAATTGTGATTATTTATTGTCGAAGAAAAATCCTTAAAAAGCCCGGTCCAACCCTTCATTTATTATTCGAAGTCCAGCCCGGCCCGGCCCGAAAAATTGTACAAAAAAAAACCCAGGCCCGGCCCGGAATAAAAGTCCAAGGTTTAAAAAAGCCCGGTCCAACCCTTGGATTTATTATTTGAAGTTCAGCCCGGCCCGGCCCGAAAAATTGTACAAAAAAAACCCAGGCCCGGCCCGGAATAAAATTCTAAGACTTAAAAAGCCCGGTCCAACCCTTTATTTTATTTCAAAGGCCCGGCCCGGTCCAATGTCACTACGGGCAGGGTTTTCTAAGGACCGGATCGGGCCGGCCCGGCCCTTGCAGGTCTTTACCCATGACACGACGATTATTTGAGGCTACTGTTGCGAAAAATGAAATACCTGATTTGAACTCATTATTAGAGTTCGCATCAAAACGATGTAACGTTTTGGAAAACGTTGGCAGCAGTTTGAGCATTAATTGTGTGGAAAATAATGAAAAGACCGTAGGGAAGACAACTACTAAGATCCAGGGCAAGAGGTCCGAGAAGACATCGTTAGCCGCGGTTGCCCCCACCAAGTCAAGAAAGTGTCTGTTTTGTGGACACCCACATGCAATTTACAAATGTTTTGGATTCCGAAAACTTGCAATTACCAGTCGTCGCGATTTTGTCAATAAAAATCAATTATGTTTTATTTGTTTGAACAGTGGGCATACGAGCAATGCGTGTCCTACGTCTTTTACGTGTCGTACGTGTTCGAGTAAGCACAGTACATTACTACATAGATGATACTACAAAATCGAGTACTGATAAGACAAATGGCAACTCCGAACGAGCCACTACAAGTTGTAATGCAATACAGTTTTCGGGAGTTACACATACTGAAACCACTGTTTTGTTGGGTACTGTTGTAGTCAGGGTTCGGGACAATACCGGAGTTCTTCAAGAAGTCAGGGTAGTATTAGACCAGGGATGGCCAACCCAAATGATCTTGCGGGCCACTTCGTAAATACATCACAATCTTGCGGGCCACATATAGGGTTGCCAAAAAAAAAAAGGTCATCAGCCAAAATATTAATATAAGTAATCACATATTTTATTCAAAATTAGGCCACATATAAAAATATAAAAGAATTTTAAAAAAAATTAAAATATATAAAAGTATTTAATACAAAAAACATTACTATTTAGTGAGATATTTGTTTCTCAACTCGTTCACTAAGCTTTTTCAAATCAATAGAAATACTTGTATTTGCACACCGTAATTGATGTTGCAGGTTTTCATCTGTTAGGTTTGTGCGTGATTTATCTTTGGCGAATTTCATTTTCGAAAAAAACGATTCACAAGTGTAAGTCGATCCAAAAGCACTCACAACTTTTTGTGCCAGATTTCTCAAATTGGGAAAATGTTCTTTTGTGATATTAATATTATAAAAATCTATTTTTGATTTTGATGTTTCAAAAATGTGTTTTAATTCATTATTGCATTGTAAGTCAATGAGTTCCATCTGAAGATATTCTGGGGCCGAATTGACATCCGTATGAAAAGGAGATGAATATACTTCAAATATTTTCTTGTATTTGTCTAAATTAGTGAAACGACTTTCAAAAGCAGCTATAAGTTTCCTTATTTCTTGTGCATATTTTATGCTATCGATATGTTTGGAATTTTTCAATTCGTTTAGCAATGGAAAGTGTTGAACGTTATTATTTTTTAATTGAAATTCAAATAACAACAATTTCTTCTAAAATGCATTGATGTAATTACATGAGTCAATTATTAAATTATCTTTTCCCTGTAATGATATATTTAATTGGTTCAGTTTTTCGACAATATCCACTAAAAAGCATAAATCTAATAACCATTCATCATTACTTAATTCTAATACTGGTTTTTGTTTATCATTCATAAACAAGTCAATTTCATGACGTAACTCATAAAATCGCTTTAAACATTTTCCACGACTTAACCATCTGACATGACTGAAATATACTACGTCACCATATTCTGAATCCAATTCTTTCAGGAACTCCTTAAATTGTCGGTGGGGAAGCGCATGTGATCGAATGTAATTCACTGTTTTTATAACTACTTGCATAACATGGTTCATCGATAATACTTGAGAACATAAATTTTGTTGATGAATCAAACAATGGATTATAAATAAATCATCTCTTTTCCAGAAATTATTAGTTTTTCTGGTAGATTCTATTTTATCGATCAGTAGTTTTATAGCTCCTTTTTCTTTGCCAACCATAGCAGGTGCACCATCAGTTGATATTCCAGAAATAATTTCCAAATCCAAATTGTTTTCGCATAAACTGTTTTCAACAGCGTGAAAAATATCTTCACCTTTTGTAGTTCCTTTCAAACTTATCAATTTTAACATTTCTTCAGTTATTTGAAATGATTCATTTACTCCGCGAACGAATATTACAAGTTGAGCTGTATCTGATATATCTGTACTTTCGTCAAATGCAATAGAAAAATATTTAAAATCTTGAATTCGATCGCGTAGTTTTACAATAATTTCGTTTGAAATGTCATTAATTCGACGACATACTGTTTGTCGGGATAAACTTATATTCGAAAAAAGTTTATTTTTATCAGGTAAAATATCCTTTGCTACAGCTTCCAAACATTCTTTCACAAATTCACCATCTGAAAATTTTTTCATTTTTTTTGCAATCAAAAATGAGACAGAATAACTTGCTTTAACGATATTAGATGGTTGCTGTAATGCTGAACTAAACATTTTTTGTTGAGTTTTTAATTGTGACGTAAATTCCCTGAGCTTCGATTGTTTCACTTCACTACTAAATTTCAAATAATCATTATGTTTTGTTTCATAATGCCTTTTAACATTATATTCTTTAAATACAGCTACTGTTTCTCGGCAAATCAAACACATTAATTTTGTGTTTTGAATTATAAAAAAGTACTTTTCTTCCCACTCCTCACTGTACTTTCTATTTTCGTCTACTATTTTTCTTTTCTTTGCCACACTCATATTAAAAAAAAAAAATACAATAATAAAAAAAGTACGTACTTAAATATTTTTCCACACTGAACGCACTTCAACAGTCACAGCGAACGAACAGATTATGACTGTTATTAGCCACGTTTTATTTTAACAATTCGATTTGCTATATTACTATAAGCTGGTGTCTACTCGTATATATACTTTTATCAGATTAGATTAGAATTATTACTTTTGTTGCGATTACGTTGTTAATAATACAGATACCGCGTTGCACGGGCATTCCAGAATATTCTATCGGCGCAAAAATATTTTTTTTTGTAAATATTTGATATATGTCGCGGGCCGCAAAACTTTCCAAGGCGGGCCGCATGCGGCCCGCGGGCCGCGGGTTGGCCATCCCTGTATTAGACAGTGGGTCGCAGGTGTCTGCGGTGACAGTGAATTGTGTCAACCGGTTAGGTTTGACCCGTAGAAAGTGTCCTGTTGAGGTCATCGGACTTTCCCAACAACCGGTCAATACTGTTAAAGGTCAAACTAATTTTAATTTTTTTTCTGTACAATCCGACGTTCCCGAATTTAAAGTAACAAATGTCATTGTTTTACCTCGAATTATGTCATCAATGCCTAACAGGGTTTTGCCAGCTGAGATACGAGATCGCTATCGGCATCTTGTCCTTGCCGACCCCCGATTTGATCACCCGGCGCCAGTAGATATGTTGATTGGAGGAGACTTATATCCGTCCGTCATGCAATCAAATAGAGCTGACGTTATACCGAGGGCTTACCATCAGCGATGAATACACAGTTAGGTTGGGTCATAATTGGCGCGTTACAGAATAACACACATACTCCTCTTACATCCCTGTCAATTAGTACAACCCCTCCGATTGAAGAGTTGATGCAGCGTTTTTGGACAGTAGATTAGCACACAGAGTCTACGATGAGAACTACACAAGATAAGCAATGTGAAGATTGGTTTGTTAGAACCACGAAACGAGACGCCGACGGTCGATTTTATGTTGGTTTACCATTTCAAACAATAGTATGTTCCCCAGATACAACCGACATCGGATGTAAAGATAAGAAGTCTGTCGTTTTAGGGTCATCCAGAACTTCAGCTCTTAACCGATTGTATAATTTAGAATGTCGCCTTGAGAAGGATTCAGCATTGTATACTGCCTACCGGGCCTTCATGGACGATTATGGAGCGTTAGGACATATGAAGTTAGCGACTGAGTCAGGCAAATATTTCATACCACACCACCCAGTAGTTAAACGTTGTAATGAAGAGCTGAAGATTCGTGTGGTGTTCGACGCCTCAGCTACGTCTTCATCCGGAGTCTCATTAAATGACTGCTTGGTGACTGGACCAAAGCTTCAGACTGAAATCGGTGATGTCTTGTTGAGCAGCCGTCTACACAAATTTGTTTTTACTGCAGACATAACTAAAATGTATCGGCAAATATGTCTACATGACGCTAATCACACGTATTGAAGGTGTACTCAATTCTCGGCCATTAGTCGCTGTGTCGACCGATCCGAACGATTTATCTGTGCTAACACCAGGACATTTTCTGATCGGACAACCTATACTGTCGATTCCTGAACATGACATTGGCGATATTCCTCGGAACCGCCTCAAGCAGTGGCAATTAGTCAGACAAGCCCTTCAGTCCTTCTGGAAACGATGGAGTCGGGAGTATCTCCATACGCTGCAAAGTAGAAAAAAATGGTTCCATCAAAATCCCAGTCTCGGTGTCGGACATGTCGTCGTCATAAATTCAATTTCTCAACCTCCGTTGATGTGGTAACTTGGTCGAGTCATCGACGCCAATCCTGGTGCTGACCAAGTGTTTCGTGTAGCCACCATCAAGACAGCGGAAGGGATACTGAAACAACCGGTCGTAAAGTTGGTCAAACTACCTACTTACAACGCTTAACCAACTTTCCTTCCTTGTTCCATCTTCTGTTATTTCCCAAATGTACATATATTTTTTTTATTCGTTCAATACTATTTCTGTAATTTTTTATTTTTTTTTATATGAATTTTAGTGTAGATATTGTTATAACATGTAAACGCATAGTGATACGGTCTGACCGAGAAATGTCTACTTTGAAAGCATCCTTTCAAAGCGGGGGAGGATGTTCGGACCAATTCCAACTAGAGGGCGCTAGTCATTTCAAATTCGAGTTAAACCGGTGATGGTTACGCATGCAACTAATTATAATTTGCTGCGTATGAGAGACAAATAGTTTGAAAATAAATTGATTTGGTGAAAATATCTTAAATATCATGATATTTATGTATAATTTTAAGAAATAATCAAATACGGGACATATTGCGTTGAGCAGTGCGGTATGGAAGTTTTTTGAAGAGGTTTTAATGTGGTCTGTGATTTCCTGGATCTGAAGGTCTTTGTGTAGGTTTACGTTCCTTATAAGCCAAGGTGCGTTGGAAATAATAAGTACCTAGCGATTTATTTTGAAAAATTTGAATTGTATTGATGTGAGTGATCGCGCATTTCCCCCAGACCGGACACGCATAAGTGAGAAGTGGACGTAGAATTTGTTTAAATATTAGAAAAGAGCATACTGTATTGGAGATTTTTTTATTGAGAATAGGGTATAACATAGAAAGGCGCTGATATGCCTGTTGAAGTTTAGATGAGATATGGGGCTGCCATGTTAGCCGTTTATCCAATGTCAAGCCGAGGTATTTTACCATCGACCTACATGTAGTGATGGGTAATCACCCGGTAAATTCAATGTTGGATAAATATTCTGGGTATATACCGGGAATTTACCCGGTATTTTGGGTATTTATAAATGTTTAAGTATAAATGTATTAGTCATTAAACACTAGTCTTGAAAGTCTAATGGAATTGTAGCGGATCACATATGTGTGAGGCCGTTACATGGTATATAGTTAAGTATAAATAATAAGCAAATATAGATGTAGATAATAATAAGGAAGAAGGCTTACACAGTATAGTCATCCGGGTACACATATATGTACACATTGTAATATAATATAAAAAAGACACATAATGTTAACTTGGTTAGTTCTGGGACCAGTACAGCTGCCCGCTAACCAACGAACTCCGGAGGACGATTCTGTAAGTAAGTCTTTCGATATATAAGTAGTTTATAAGTATCCGTATTGAATAATTATTGTATGTTGTGTAATAATAAATATATTCACTTAAGCTTGATATTTGACTAAACTTTCCTGAAGCTCCCGAGTTACGGTAAAAATATAATTCATAGGGCTCTGAAAACCCTCACTGAATTATTTAAATATAACAGGTTCCCTAACCCCGTTACAGAATCATTAAAACAAATTTTTGTTTTTTAGGTAAGCATACAATTATTCACTATTAAGTAGTATTAACCATTAATCATTATTAATCAAAAATCACAATTAACTACTAATAGAAAAAAGTAAAAACAAACTACTAATAATGAAAATGTTATATGCGTTATTCAATTTTAACAGCTTTTGGTAATGAATGTGTAAATAAATTAACAAAATGTATCAATCTTTAGATTTAAGTGATAGAACATTAAAATTAAAATTTTAACAACTTAAAATAATTAGTTAAAATATAATTACTAGGTGCTTTTAAAATCATACTCTATATATAATACTGTTTTGTATCATACTTTTGATAATCAACTTTATTAACATAAATATATAAGTGAAAAAGTAAAAAACAAACAACTAAATTAAACAATTTAAATGTCTTAGGTCCTTTCAGTCTGAATCAACAACTATCTTCTTTTTCTTCTTCAGTTTCTGTATCCATATAAATTATGGATGAAGCACATTCTTCTTCAGATTCACTTTCAAATCTTTCTACTTGGGGGCTTTCTATATCTATTGGTTCATTTTCTTTTGTTTGATTCTTGGATTCAATAAAAACATTGTTTAAATTTGAATTAGAAGAGTTACTTATGTTTTTCAAATTTTGTAATTTATGATTGTATGCTATTGCACACAATTTTCCAGCTCAGTCGTTAGTTAATCGGTTTCTTATTTTTGAATGAATCCATGAGTAGGTACTAAACCTGCGCTCGGTTGACGCAGAAGTAACTGGGGCTGTTAAAATTTTAATCGCAACTTTTGAGAGATCAATGCTTCTACTTAAAAGTTTCCACCACTCAATTGGCTCAATTTTATCCAAGTTATCCCATAAAAAGATTTTGCCCAAACACTTTGATTTGACTGGTAGTTAGCCAAATCATACAGAACGTTCCAGATTCATGTTTTTGGCATATATTCAATGACATCAGTATTTTGAAATCCAAATACATTTTTTCCTCTAGTAGCAGGGTCAAGAAAATAAGCTGCTAAATGAATATTTTTTTTAAATAAAGTCTTTTCTAGCCAAGATATTTTCTTTTACAAGATGTGTTTCATCCAAACTTAATGGAGATTTAAATAGTTGATCTTTAATAGTATTTTCAACATCATTTATAGTATTAAATACCTTATGAATGATTGGTTTATTAGATTCCGCAATGTGTATAGCATGTACAATTGGTGTAAGTATATCAACCATTGGTGTAATGTTTTCCCAAAAAGAGTCATCAAGAGGTACATTTGTTATTTCTTTTTTTAAAGTATCCACAATATTATTGTCGATTGCAAGTGCATGAAGAGGGCCTTTATTTTTTGTTAGACTTTCAAGACAAAACAAGAAACTTCCCTAACGTGTTGTTACTGAAAGTTTTATAGTAACATTCATATTTTGAAGAGTCCCATGTTTCTTTAAAGTTGCTAACAAGACTTGACTTGCCTTAATAGACCTTACAATTAATTGACAAGTTTTTTCAAGTTAGAAATTGTTTCACTCTTACAAATGTCATTAAATAAAAGATGTAGACTGTGAGCTATGCAACCCAAGCCTTCAACCTGTCCCTTCTATTAGTTCACATGACTATACATGGGCATCCTGCGGTTAGGCCTTGTTGAAATATACAATTAATATGTAGTATATGTAGTCAGCCTTGACACGTGTGTACAATTTAGTAACTAGTTATATACGAGCATAAGACTCACTCTCTTTACGGATGTAACATGACCTCGGTCGTGCATATATATAGGGCCTTTGATGTATGTAATACTCACTTGCACAGACGCTGTCATACCGAGTGTACGCGGTGTGTGTGTATAGTCACAGTTTAATTGTCCAGTTGTACGTTATTATATATTATACTTATACACAATCATATTGTCGTGTTATTACTTATTAGATTAATGCTAACATCATTAGTCCGTCAAGCTTCACTTTCAACAGGTTATGGGCCCAGTCAATAACCAAGGCATAAAGTCTAGTGGATTCGTGGTCGAAGTATTTTTATATTTGTACTAACGCAGAAAACTACAACCAGTCAGAGATATCCTGGATTTCGGAAAACGGCGGAACAGTGTACATAGGTAAAGTTTTGTCATAAATTGTTATACAGGAAAGTATACGGGAAATCATCGGTCATGGAAGACACGGTGAAGATAACAAAATTATGTGCGGAAAACTGGTCGTTATGGAAGTTCCAGATGAAGGTCATTCTAAATGCCTTGGAAATAGGGTATATAGTTTCAGGTGAATGTACGAAAGCAGTTGTACCTATAAAGAAGTTGGCGACAGATTCCGACCAGGAAGCCAAAACACGTTTTCAAAGGCATACAAGCGCTTGGATAAAAGCGGACGGTAAATGTCAAAAAATAATAGTTACCTCAGTGGACGATGGTCCATTATAATATTTGATTAACTGTGAGACTGCATTGGAAATGTGG